ACTATCATATAGTTGGTTCTTCGGTAAAAATATTAGCAACTAAGAGTGTGAGTTAAACAACTCAGTGCATAAAATATTTCTAAGTTACAATAATTCTCATTTTAAAATATTTTGTATAAATTATAGTAATCAGTGAAAAATTACGAGCAATGAAAAAATAGTAAGAAAAACAATTTCTATTTACTTTGTTATTTTTGTTGCACTTTTCATTATTGGAAGACACCAGCTAAACGTATACTTTAAAAAATATATGTTTATATTTTCCAAACCCACCAAAAAGTAAACACCCATTTTTTATTTTCATTTACATTTCCATTTCATGCATGGGCACAGCGTTTCCCTAACAGTACCATCTGGGGTTGACTCCATATGCATGCATACATCATATTTTATTTTATTTTCTTGCACTTAACATTTAAAAAAACATGAACTTTTGCATTTTAAAAGAAATGCTGGAAATAGAAAATAAGTGTAATTGCTTCATAAATAAATAGAATAATTGTAAAATAAAAATATATTTATCGACCTATACAGTCTTCTGTCTAGTATCTTTTTTTTCTAGATCAACTTAGTCATTTGATGCACCTATAAGAACATTTTAGCTTTTATTTATTTAAATATGCCTACCTTATTAAACTTAATTGTACAATTATTATTTAGCTATATTCATTTGAAATTGTTTAATTTGCTTATACATATGAATATTCGAACTACTTTTCTCTTTGTTAGAATTTCATATTAAATAATTTTGCCACAGTTTTATTTCAATATTAAGTTATTTTGGTCAACAATATTAATACATATTTTAATTTTAACGTTCTTAAATGTTGGTCTTAATCTAACACAATTAAAGTTGGAAATGAAAATTTTAAGCATTTAATTATGTTTAATACTTGAAAACTTCCTTTTCTTATTTCAATCTTCTCGCAATTTTTTCTGTTTGTTTATTTTTTATAGTTTTGAAACAGTTGTGTTGCAGTTGTTTATGAATAAATGATCTTTCTGTTTATGTGCTATAGTGTTGTTTATAATAGAACTAATTCTGTTAGCATATTTCATTTTTAAGATTCAGTTTGAATGTTACAAAATAAAACAAGCACACCAAAAAATAGTGAGTAATATGACAATCAAAACTTAAAAAATGACTATTAAAATAATAATTAGTAATATGATGATATTGTTTCTAAAATGTAGTTAATTAATGTTGTTAGATAATTCGTTCTCGAACGAAACTCTCCACGCCTAATCACTATCGGCGGTGAAATTCTTAAATCGATCCTCTCACCTTAAGAAGTCACAGTTCTCTGTTATTTTCTTTAGATATTTGTAAAACTGTTTCTCATAGCTATTTGGTTGTTGCGAGGTAAGCAGAGAACATTACAGTCCACAGTAGCAGTACAATGCTCTGAAATTATCGGAAGTCTTCGAACTCATTTTTTTTTAAGATTCAAAACCATGAACACAAACCCTTAAATGTAACATTTGTAGTGAAAAATATTAAAAGAAATTAGTTTTAGTTTTATGATATTGTGAGGTCTCAGAGAATAGAATATAAACCAATGAATCTGTCACTAGAAGAAGACAATAAACTTTATTAAAAAAATGATTCTTGGTTGAAAGATAAAAAATGGAACTTCAACTTTTCTCTTCATTTTTTCTGCCTACTACTTCAACTTAATTATTTTTGTATGATAAAAATATCTTTTTTATATAATAAATGTTTCACGTGAAAAACTAATTCTATAGCAAAAAAAAAATTGTGTATGAAAAATAAATTTTAAATAATTATTAAGCATATAAGTAAAATATTTATGATAAATATGGTAGTATGAGTGAATTAATGACATATTTGAAATCTTTAATGACATAAACTTAGTGACGAAACATCAACACTTAATAGTAAATTAACATTAGAAATCAAAGGATGAAACTAAATGGAAAATTTTTAACTTATGAAGAAAACCAAATGTAAAACATAAACATAGAACACATGATTCTCATATTAACCAACAAACCAAAAAACCAAACCAAATCAAAATTAAAATATCAAATACACCAAAACCAACTTATATATACCAATTCAAACAACGAAAATCATATCTTGGTACATCAAATGTAAACCCTAGGCTAACCTACTTAGAAATGAAACTTAGCTCATATCGTAAAATAGTCAAATCTAAAAATATTGGTTAGATTATTAAGTACCTCTAATTAGTTGCTAAGGAGTAGAGCATATAAAACCCCAAGCCTATAACAACCCTTGACTATATAGGTGTCCTATGATGAAGTAACTCATGTTATTGACAAAGACATATCTAATCACCTAATAATTAATGACTACACTCTTCATCCCTATGACAATAGTGGAGACCCCTGACTATTTGGTTGGTTAACAGTCTTAGGCTATTGATTAACCCGGGATGATAAAAAATGATGGTCATATTGACCCAAAACTTCATATTCAAAATTTAGGTTAGTTCACCTATTTTAGTCTTCTTATGGAGTCTAGACTCATCTCAGGGTTAGGCTCTCAATTTCTATCTAGAAGTCTTTTCAACTAATCTTGTACCTTTATTTTATGAATCAAATCAAACATTTGAAGTCAAACCAATCAAATCAAATCATCAAAATCAAATCCTTCAAATGAAACCTTTGAAATCAAACCAATTAAATCGACTTATTGAAATCAAATCCTTGAAATCAAATCTTTCAAATCAAATAAATCTTTTTATGTCAAGCTTTCCGATTTAAATCTGTTAAATCAAGATTTCAACTCTAACCTCTCAAATCAAAACTTTTCAAGTCAAATTTTGAAACTAAACCAATCAAATTAATTCATCAAAATTAAATCCTTGAAATCAAATCTTCAAATCAAATCAAACTGTTCAAAACTAAATCTTTCAAAAGAAATATTTTTTAAACCAATTCATTCAAAACCAAATATTTCAAAATCTATTTTTTTCAAATCAAACTTTCTAATCAAACTTGAAGTCAAAATTTTCCAATATAATTATATTCCGTCTAACTTCAATAAATCAAATTCATTCCAAATTCTTTTTGACTTAATCCCATTTCAATCAAACCTAACTCGTTCAATAAGTTGTCAACCTCAACCTTAGGGAACACCTTTCCATAGTTGGCTAATCCCTTTTCGGGTTTTGTTTTCTGACACATCATCACTGGATTGTAAGCCCCAAACCTTGAATTTCAAAAAACAAGTCCCTTCAAATCTTGAATCTACCCATTGAAAATCTTAGAACATCAATCTTTGAAAATGATATGCATTTGCTATTTAATTTAATTTTAATTTCCCTCTTAAAATGATATTCATATCTTCCCTCATAACATTTGTCGTTCATGCCTCATAACACTTGTCTTCGCCTCATAAATGGGGATGTATACAATATGGGTGTCCTTTTTAGATAGTTTCATTGTTTCAAATGCTCTGATGCAGTAGTTTGTTTGTGTTTGAGGGATGTTTACTTGATTTTGATAGTGATTGAAACATTTTAGCTTTGATTCATGCAAGGCTGTGTCCATAGTCCACTATCTTCATCATGTGATGACCAAATTGATTTTAAACGTATTTCTTTGACAATTTGGATGCTTCACATGAATCATAGTTGTTAATTTTACAAATGGAATATTTTTGGAAAATTTCAATTGTGATTGAAGCGTTTCAAACCTGATTAGCGCAATGTCATGTTTTTAGTCCGTCATTTGTCGTCTTAGTCATGCAATGATTTGATGTGTGAATATTTTTTTAGGTAATGTCACTGTTTTTAATACATCGATGCAGTCCGTTTCACAAACAGGTAATGTTTGGGCAGTTTGAACTTTTCGATCGAAGTATTTCAAGCATGATTTGTGCGATGCTGCATTCGCAGTCCATCATCCTTGTTGGATGACTTCGGCATTTTTTGGTATTTCAGATTATTGGCATTGATTATTTTATTAAATTAAGTGCAATTTGATGGTTTTGATTTGTACGATGCAACATGATCTCAATTTGTGCGATGCAAGAATTATTGCAGCGTTCTGTCATTTTTGCCGTATTTGACTGCATGCATGAAGATCAATAGCCAGTCTCTCAAAAAACTTGTTCCTTCAATTCTTGCCTCCTAACGTGCCCTACATGATCAATTACCGAAATTAGTAATAAAACAAAAATTTAGGATTTTGGGATGTTATAACAAGCATCTCTCTAGGAATATCACCTAACCAAAGAAAGGACACCAAATTTTCTTTAAGCCACTAATAAAATTCATAATCAAACAAGAACTTTATTTAGCTTGCTTTCATTTCTTCCAATCTTGCTTTAGATATTGTGTATAACATCTGACATTTTCTTAAATCGTGGCCTATGTTTGTCGGTGCATATCCATAAGCATTTGAATGTTTTTAAATATTTCATTGAACAAATCCTTAGGCGTTAAAAATGACGTCCAATTTTTTCTTCAGTCCATGTTTATGTTTGTCGATGTATTACAGTAATAAGTTGCAGGTTGTTTAAAAGACCCACAGTTATACTAGGATGTTTAGTTGAAGTTTTGAAGGTAAGTTTTTGTGGCATCACAAAAGAGTAGGGGAAAATGATCCGGGTAAAAGTTGACTGAATGCAGTGCATTCACCGAGCTTCACAAGAAATAAAAGAAATGGTAGAAGAGGAAGCTATCCAGGTGCGTTTGAAATGGATGAAGATATATGAAACGAGTTTTATTATTGCCATGCATTTCCTACTACACAATTGAATCTTCATGTTGCTGTGCGAGAACTTCTGGTGCATTGATGTATGACCTTTTGCTTGTCTGCCTTTTGCCTGCTATATGTTCATCTCAATATAGGTTTTTTTCTTTGCTTTTAAATGCTGGGTGTTCTGTTTACATTTATTAATTCTTTCTTTTATTTAATTAAGGAAATCTATACATTTCTTCTTCTTGGATGTTTATCAACTTTTTCATGTACGCTAATTATGTTTTATTTGTGAATTTTAATTGCAGGATGGGAAATGTATTGTCCATGACTTGTTTGGTCATGAAGTTGTGAAGAAATTAAATGAGCTATACTGTGATGCATTCCTGACAGCTCATTTGGAAGTGCCTGGAGAAATGTTCTCCCTTGCCATGGAAGCAAAAAGAAGGGGAATGGGAGTTGTGGGATCTACCCAGAATATTTTAGATTTCATCACACGAAGGGTACAAGATGCTTTGGACAGTGATCTTGACAATCATCTTCAGTTTGTTTTAGGAACGGAATCGGGAATGATAACAGCCATTGTTGCTGCAGTACGTAAATTACTTAATTCTAGGAAATCTTCTTCAGGAAGCTCAAAAATCACTGTAGAGATTGTGTTCCCAGTCTCGCCTGATTCAATGACCAGAACGTCATCAAATGGTTGCCATGGACTAAGTTCAGTTTCAGCAGATGATCTTGCAAAGCTTACATTTATTCCTGGAGTGGCAGCTGGCGAGGGATGTTCTTTCCATGGTGGCTGTGCTTCCTGTCCGTATATGAAGGTATTTTTCTTTCTGAATGCAATGAAATCTGTATATCGTGTGGCATACCCACAGAATATTAACTGCTGAATGACATATTTCTGCATTAACAGTGCAGGGAAGCAATCTTTTTTGATCTATTGTGCTGGGTTCTTTTTTAATGGAAGCATTCTTAATAACAATTTAACTAGACTAGTTTAAACTTGCAGATAAGTCTATAGCGAATAAAGATTTTATTCCCTCTATTTTACGATGCGAGTATCAAAATGTTTGCATAAATTTAAAAAGATTTACATAGTGCATAAAACTCCTACCAATATAGGGTTTGGAATCTACACATTGCAATTGCCAAAAAATATGACACAAACTTAACACCTCTATACCACAACGGAAGACTCTAACAGTAGTTACTGCTTAATTAACTGCTATGTAAATCCTTGATTTTTTTGCCAAAAAAATATGACACAAACTTAACACCTCTATACCACAACTCGGTGTAACAGTAGTAAGGATGCATTGAATAAGAATTTAAGGTATTATATGCTGAGATGACTAGCAACTTAAATGGAATGATAGTATATAAAGAGTTGGAAGAAAAAACTATGTTGAAGCGAGAATAAGATTATGCTTTTGACTTTATTTTTTTTAGGATAACAGTAGTTAGTGCTTATGCTTTAATATGTTGGTTTAAGAGAAGTTTGAAAAAAAAAAAAAAACTTTGTTTAGAAATATGCGGCAATTTCCCTGTTTAGAAATATGCGGACATCTACAACTTGTATGTTAGAAGATGTTATAGTGGAGAGGGGGAAGCAGAAAAAGGTTGGCTCACATACTTTGGAGTAATTCACATACAAAACTTGGAACTAAAACGCACTTAATTAACTGCAAATAATTTCATAAATCAATAATCCAAATGTTAATCATGGATCTTTATTTACACAAAGTTTATGAAGTTAAGTATTTGTGTAAATCTAAGTCTATGCATCTTAAGAAACTTCAAATTTAAGCATGTGCTAATCTAAGAGAAGATAACACTTAATAACATAATTTAAATGAATTAAATACATAAATGAAATTTGATTGTAAATATAAATTAGCCTAAAAAGACTTTAAATTAGGCTCATTTTGGATACATAATTCACCTAACTTTGACTCACGGTAATTGAATTATAACTTCTTTCGATTTTGTGGATTATTTTAGCTTATTTGAAGTCAAGCACTACTTCAATTCTCATGGAGCATAAAAAGCTCTCTTGTTCAAGATAATTATTCAAGATTTCAAGAGTTAGATTTTGTAATTGCTCCTCAATCATACATGTATTATTTGATGTAATCCTAGCTTTCCATCTGACCAAAAACCTATACTCATCTTTCTTCTTGTTGAGATTTGTATATAGTTTAGGGCTCTATTTATAAATAGGAGATAAAGAAGAACTTTAGTGGTGTATTTGTAAGAATATTGTTAAGGCTCTATGTAAGCCCAAGTCATTAATGAATAGATCAAATTTTTGAGCAATTATTTCATTTTGGTATCAGAGCTAAACCCTATCCCTCGTTGTCGATAATTCGATCAAGAAGGTCTCCTCGCTCACACCTTGTCCTCTTATACTGTGTGGATCCATACATCTCGAGGGTTTTCAGCAGAGGCAAGCTGCTTAATCTTGGCCTCTCGCTTCATGCACTCAAAATCAATGTATTCGGTGAGTAGAGATGTGTCGATGGATTTAACGGTGTAGATCTCGCTAGAATCAGGTAAGTCTAAATGGTTGACGAGTTTGAATCAGCTGCGACTGATCTCGTCTCTGATGTGGTAGTCCTTGCTCAACTCCTTGCTCATGATCACAATGTTAAAACTGTCAGATCTGGAAGTGAAGGTAGTACCAGGATCGCGACATTAAACTCATTGGATCCATAAAGTAAGTCAATGATGGGATCACAACGTACAAAGACCTCCTAAACTTCCATTTGAGAGGGTTCTAGATCTTGATGATGAGATAGATCAAAATCGAGTCAAGAAGATGAAGGAAGTCACGTATGATTCAGACTTGGTTCCTTGTGATTGAGGATGCCAAGTGATGGAGTTAGTGCGAGAAATAAGGGGTTGGAGCTTCTGTGGAAAATAGATCGTGAGATTCTGACTGTCTTGGTCGAGCTCATATAGGGAGCTAGCGTCTCGATAGAAGCCATTACTTCAATATGTGGTTCGACGCAGGGGAAACTAGATCTGCCTCTTTTGGATTTGAAGCTTCATGGACCAACCACATATCTAAGTTGGGCATGTTGGATCGAGATTGTTTTAGTAAAGAAGAGAGTAGAGGGATATCTGATCGGGGACGAATCAAAGAGTGACAATGCTGTTGGGGATGAGTGAAGGACCACACCCGTCTTGCTTTACACTTCGCTACTCAACTCAATGGTTCCTTCAATAGCCTCCTTAGTAGATGACATCCGAAAAGTGAGGAACATCTGAGCAAAGCTAAAGAGGATCTATGTTGGAGCTGAGAATCACATGAGTGCGTTCGAGATTTAGCATGAGATAGAGGCAGTGGTATAAGGTGATAGATCGATTCAAGCGTACTCCATATATCTGGAGTGACTTTGGGCAAATATTGATCATTTTTCATCGATGTCGAGCTATCGTGATTCAGCTACAAGAAATGAGGGATCTTTGCACTGTTGAGGAATATGTAGTTTCTGGCTCATCTGAACCCGGCTTTTGATCAGAGGAGATTCATCCTCCTAGCATAGGTGACAATCCCTTCAATGGATGAGACTAGCGCTGCGATGATACTGGAGAGTCGCATGAGGCCATCACTATGATGATACTGTAGAGTCGCATGAAGCTACACTCTTAGCTGAGTGTATTTTCATGTATGTGATCAGCTTTGGTTACCTCGAGCTCATTTATGATAGGTTTCCAAGGGGAGACTCGCAAGTGCTACAACTATGGTGAAGGCATCTGAGCGAATTCTATCCTAGTCCACTTAAGGAGAGAGACGGTTGGACGTTGATAGTTTAGAGGTTGTGCTCATGGCCATGATGTTCGAAGAGACGGAGGGGTCTACCGGGCAAATCTGATGGTAACAGAGGATGACAGAGTGACTGGTGTGGACTTTACCGATGAGGATCATGAGCTTTTGTAGATTGTTGAAGAGGAACCAGAAAGCAATAGATGATGGGGCCGATAATGCATCCACCTTGTCTTCATCAAGGGATAACATTGCTACTTATCTCACTCAGATAAAGATACTCGTGATACACATACACTTGCCACTATTTCCTCCATAAGATCACCAGAATGGATAGTAGATTCTGATGCATTTTAACATGTGATAGGTGCTGCTAGAGAGTTCTCTTTCTATAATCACCTAGCAGTTCCAAACAATGTTCAGACTAATGATGGTACAACACAACCTGTAGTGGGTAAGGGTATAGTGAGGTGTACTGATTCTATGATTTTATTTAATTGTTTACATGCTCCTTTCTTTCTAGTGAATTTTTTATTCATTAGTACTATTACTCTCTAACTGGTATGTGTTGTTTCATTTGATATTCCTAAGATGATCTTTCAAGAGAAAGGGATGGGCCGAACGCTTCGGACTGGAACGTGGTATAGTGGTCTTTGGTACTTGGATAGAGAGAGGACAGACTTAACCTTGACATTTATGGTGGAAAGTGCTGAAGCAAGAGGATTGGGGAGGAGTGTGAAGGAAGGGTTATTGCTACATCACGAATGCATGAGACACTATGTTTTATTTTATTGAGTTTTTGGTATCCATCAGTGTATGAAACTGCAAATAAACAAAAACTTGTTTTTGATGTTTGTTAGTTTGAGAAGCTTTCTATGAGCTCTTGTATCGGTTTTAGGAGTATGACTTCTTGTTGTTTTGATTTGATACATTCTGATGTTTGTGCACCTATTTTATGAGTTAAATGAATGATTGCCAATATTTTGTGACTTTTATTGTTTGTTTTTCTTGTGTCACTAAGTTGTATCTAATGAGACGTAAAAGTGATGTGTTTGCTTGCTCTAAAGATTTCTACAAGACAATTTCGACTCAATTGTCGGCGCTTAAAAAGGGGGGGGGGGGGG